TATTTTTAACTCCATTTTTTTTTACTTTTAACTCCTTTTTTTCCCCGATTTTTTTTTTTATTTTCTCCGCCATTTTTTCCTATTTTTCCCCGATTTTTTCCTCATTTTTCCTCCATTTTTCCCCAATTTTTCCTCCATTTTTTCCTTATTTTTCCCTCCATTTTTTTTTACTTTTTCCTCCATTTTTCCCCGATTTTTTCCTCATTTTCCCTCCATTTTTATCCGATTTTTTTTTCCTTTTCCCTCCATTTTCCCCGATTTTTTTCTTATTTTTCCCTCCATTTTTTCTTATTTTTCCCCGATTTTTTCCTTATTTTTCCCTCCATTTTTTCCCCGATTTTTTTCTTATTTTTTCCGCCATTTTTTCCTATTTTTCCCCCTATTTTTCCTCCATTTTTCCTCCATTTTTTCCTTATTTTTCCCTCCATTTTTTTTCCCTTTTTCCTCCATTTTTCCCCGATTTTTTCCTCATTTTTCCTCCATTTTTCACCGATTTTTTTCTTATTTTCTCCGCCATTTTTTCCTATTTTTCCTCCATTTTNTAAAATAAAAAATACAAAAATAAAATAAAATAAAAAATAAATAAAAAAATAAAAGAAAAGAAAAGAAAAAATAAAAAAATAAAATTAAATAAATAAAGGGATTAAAAGGAGAAGGGGAAGGGGTGGGAGTTAAAAAAAAAAAAGGAAAAAAAATTGAAAGTATAAAAAAAGGGGAAATAAAAAATATAAAGTAAATAAAATAAATAAAATAAATAAAATAATAAAAAAACAAAAAATAAAGTAAAATAAATAAAATAAAATAGATAAATAAAATAAAATAAAAAAATAAAATAAATAAAATTAAATAAAATAAGAAAGTAAAATAAAATAAAAAAAATAAATAAAATTTAAAAAAAATAAAATAAAATAAAATTAAATAAAATTAAATAAAATAAATAAAATAAAAAAATAAATTAAATAAATAAAGGGATTAAAAGGAGAAGGGGAAGGGTTGGAATAAAAAAAAAGGGAAAAAAATGGAAATGAAATTATTAAAAATAGGGGAAAAAGGAAATAAAATAAATAAAATAAATAGAATTAAAAAAATAAATAAAATAAAAAAACAAAAACAAAAAAATAAAATAAACAAAATAAAATAAATAAAATAAAATATATAAAATAAAAAAATAAAATAAATGAAAAAAATTGAATAAAATAAAATAAATAAAAATTAGAAAAAATAAAATAAAATAAAATAAAATAGATAAATAGAATAAATAAAATAAATAAAATAAAATAAATGAAGGGATTAAAAGGAGAAGGGGAAGGGTTGGGAATAAAAAAAAAAAAGGGAAAAAAAATGAAATGAAAGTATAAAAAATGGGGAAATAAAAAATATAAAGTAAATAGAATAAATAAAATAAAAAAAAATAAATAAAAGAAAATAAATAAAAGAAAATAAATAAAATATAAAAATAAAAAAAATAAATAAAATAAAATAAAATAGATAAATGGAATAAATAAAATAAATAAAATAAAATAAATAAAATAAAAAAAGGATTAGAAGGAGAAGGGGAAGGGTTGGGAATAAAAAAAAAAAAGGAAAAAAAATTGAAATGAAATTATTAAAAATAGGGGAAAAAGGAAATAAAATAAATAAAATAAATAGAATTAAAAAATAAATAAAAAAATTAAAAAAAAATTAAAAAAATAAAATAAATAAAATAAATAAAATAAAATAAAATAAATAAAATTAAAAAATAAAATAAATAAAATAAAATTAAATAAAGTAAAATAAGAAAATAAAATAAATAATATAGAGCAAAATAAAAGAAAATAAAATAAAGGAAATAAATAATAAAAAAATAAAATTAAATAAATGGATTAAAAGGAGAAGGGGAAGGGTTGGGAATTAAAAGAAAAAAGGAAAAAAATTGAAATGAAATTATTTAAAAACTGGGGAAATAAAAGATAAATGAAATAAATAAAATAAAATAAAACAAAATTTAAAAAATAAATAAAATAAAAAAATAAAATAAATAAAATAAATAAAACAAAATAAATAAAATAAAATAAAATAAAATAAAATAAAAAATACAAAAATAAAATAAAATAAAAAAATAAAAGAAAAGAAAATAAAAAATAAAAAATAAAATTAAATAAATAAAGGATTAAAAGGAGAAGGGGAAGGGGTGGGAGTTAAAAAAAAAAAAAGGGAAAAAAATGGAAATGAAAGTATAAAAAATGGGGAAATAAAAAATATAAAGTAAATAAAATAAATAAAATAAATAAAATAAAAGAAAACAAAAAAAATAAATAAAATAAAATAAAATAAAATAGATAAATAGAATAAGTAAAATAAATAAAATAAAATAAATGAAGGGATTAAAAGGAGAAGGGGAAGGGTTGGGAATAAAAAAAAAAAGGAAAAAAATTGAAATGAAATTATTAAAAATAGGGAAAAAAGGAAATAAAATAAATAGAATAAAAAAAAATAAATAAATAAAATAAATAAAATAAATAAAATAAAATAGATGAAATAAATAAAATAAAATAAATAAAATAAAAAAATAAAATAAAAAAAATTAAATAAAATAAATAAAAATAAAAAAAATTAAATAAAATAAAATAGATAAATAAAATAAATAAAATAAATAAAATAAATAAAATAAAATAAATAAAGGATTAAAAGGAGAAGGGGAAGGGTTGGAAATAAAAAAAAATTGGGGGGAAAAGTTGGGGAAAAAAGGGAAAAATTAAAAGAAATTAAAATAAAATTATTAAAACTAGGGAAATAAAAATATAAATAAAATAAGTCAAAAAAAAAAAAATAAAATAAAATAAATAAAAAAACAAAATAAAATAGATAAAACAAATAAAATAAACAAAATAAAAAATAAAAAAGGGGAAGGGTTTAAAATAAAAAAAAATTGGGGAAAAAATGAAAAATGGGAAAAATTAGGGGGGAAGAAATAGAAAAAAAATTTAAAAATTTAAAATAAAATTATAACAAATAGGGAAATAAAGGGGCGGGAGAAATTATAAATAAAAATTTTAATTTTTTTTTTAAAAAGTTGGGATGGAGAAAAAAAAGAGAAGGGAAAAATAGGAAAAAAAATTAAGAAAAAACCAAATTCAAAAATCGCTTTTAAATCGCACAAAAATCCCCCCCAAAATCTCCCTAAAATAAATTTTTAAAAAGTCAAAAATCGCCTCAAAAAAACCCCAAAAATCTCCTTAAAAAAACCCAAAAATCTCCTTAAAAAAAACCAAAATTCCCCCCCAAAAATCCCAAAATCTCCTGAAAAAAATCTGAAATTCCCCTCAAAAAAATCTGAAATTCTCCTCAAAAAAATCCGAAATTCTCCTCAAAAAAATCTGAAAATCTCCTCAAAAAAATCCCAAAATCTCTGAAAAAAACCCCAAATTCTACTCAAAAAAATCTCAAAAATCTCTTTTAAAAAAAACCCAAATTCTCCTCAAAAAAAACCCAAAAATCTCTGAAAAAAAAACCGAAAATCGCCTCAAAAAAAACCCAAAAATACCTTCAAAAAAACCCCAAAATCGCCTCAAAAAAACCCCAAATTCTCCTCAAAAAAACCGAAAATCGCCACAAAAAAATCTCTTCAAAAAAACCCAAAAATCTCTTCAAAAAAACCCCAAAATCCCCTCATAAAAACCCCAAAAATCTCTGAAAAAAAAACCCAAAATCGCCTCAAAAAACCCGAAATTCTCCTCACAAAATCCCCTCATAAACCCCCTCAAATTCCCTCCCTTTGCCCTTTCCGTGCCCCGAGACCCCAAATTCCCCCTTTTTTAACCCAAATTTTCCCTTTTTTACCCAAATTCCTCCTTTTTTTAACCCAAATTCCCTCATTTTTAACCCAAATTCCCTCATTTTTAACCAAATTTTCCCTTTTTTTACCCAAATTCCGCCGCCCACCGCTCGCCGCCATTTTCCCCTCAGGCTTTGGCTCCGCCCCCTCTCACGCGACGCCGTTTCCCGCCCTTTTTTTCCCGCCATTTTCCCTCCCCTTCGCCATTTTGGCCACGCCCCCTCCTTCCTAAAAAGGACAAAACCCCGCCCACTACGCGAATCGCGCGTTCTTATTGGTCCCTCGGTTTTTCAAACCACGCCCCTTCTTCCCGTCAGGCCACGCCCCCGCTCTCCTCAGGTGCCCTCCCCCACCGCAATTAACGCCCCATTAATTGCCCCCCATTCGCGTTAATAACTCACTAATTAACCGCCGGGGCCGTGATTAGCCGGTTATTAATTAACTCCTCGCCCGGCCAGATTTTTAATTAACCCCTCGTGCTGGTTGATTTTTTTTTTTTTTTCGATCGGTTGGTTGTCGTGCTAATTAAGGCTCGCCGTAATTAATAAGCCAATGGAGGGTCAATTTTAATAAACCCCCTGCGCGCAAAGCACCCCGCTAATCAGCTAATTAACCGCCTAATTAACACTGCGCTGCGCCCCTCAGCGCTCGTTGGGGCCCGTTCCCTGCTTAGTTAATTATTTTAGCTCGCTAATTATGGTAATTAAGCGGCGCTTATTAATGAGAGCTGGGCGAAAAGCGGCCGAGGCGCCTTTAACATCAAATCCCGGCACCCCGCGCCCTCCTATTGGTCAGCGTCGCCGAATCGCAGCCTCTGATTGGCTGATCCTTTCACGCGGTTCCGCCCTAACGCGCGTTGCTATTGGTTGTCACCTTCTAAGCGTTGTAACGCGCGTTTCTATTGGGTAGCCGGGATCAAACCACGCCCCCAGCGTAACGCCGTTAGCGCCGCCATTGGCCGCCGCTCTTCCCGCCTCCCGCCGGCGTCCCCTTTGTCCCGCCCGCCTTTCAGCTGATTGGACGGCGCCGCGCCACGACGCCGCGTTTCCATTGGTCACCTCAGCCATCAATCAAAATATCTGGATGCCGATTGGCCAACACGGCGCGGTCCCTCCCACGAAGCCTCACCGCGCTTTTTCATTGGCCGCCCCCTCACGGCCCCTCACGGCGCGGGCGGGCGGCCATGGCGGCCATGGCGGCGGCTGCCGGAGGAGCCTCGGCCGGAACCGGGGCGGGCCCCGGAGGTCCCGGAGGAACCGGAGACCCTTCCCCGCCTTACGGCAACGGCCTGGGAGCGGCGGCGGGGCCTGAGGAGGCGGCGTTGGGAGAAGGGGGGAGCAGGGGCCGGGG